ACCTCCAAACTGACACCCTTGTTCAGGGGGTCCGGATCAGTCCTATGCTGGTTTCCCAGCTATCAGTCTGGGGTCCATGAGCTCCCCCTTGTTCAGGTCAGCTGTTTCTGTGGGTTTCTCCAACCTGGTCTTGACCCCTTTGCTCATCACTCCTCCCTCTCTGCAACTGGATTTCAGGCATTTGGCTCAGTGTTTATCTGTGGTTGCCTGCTTCTGCTTCCATGAGTTACTGGATGAAGGCTCCAATATGGCATTTAAGGTAGTCATCAATCTCATTATAGGGGAAGGGCATTTAAGGCAGCCTCTCCACTATTGCTTAGATTACTAGTTGGGGTCATTCTTGTAGATCTCTGGACGTTTCCCTAGTGCCAGATTTCTCTTTAAACCTGTAATGGCTCCCTCTATTATTCCTCTGTTCTTCCCCTGACTCAATCTTCCTGCTCCTTCAATGTCCTCCTCTTCTTCCCTTCTCTTTCTCCTAACTTTCTCTCCCCTCTCTCCATGCTCCCAATTAGCTCAGGAGTTCTTGCCCCTCTCCCCTTCTCCGGGGGTCCATGTATGTCTCTCTTAGGGTTCTCCATCTTTCCTATCCTCTCTAGAGGTGTGGACTGTAGGCTGGTAATCCTTTGTTCTATGTCTAAAATCCATATGTGAGTGAGCACTTACTATGTTTGTCTTTTTGTGACTGGGATACCTCACTCAGGATGGTTTCTTCTAGTGCCATCTATTTGCCTGCGAATTTCAAGATTGCATTGTCTTTTCTGCTGAGTAGTACTCCACTGTGTAAATGAACCACATTTTCCTTATCCATTCTTCAGTTGAGGGGCATCTAAGTTGCTTCTAGGTTCTGGCTATTACAAATAATGCTGCTATGAACATAGTGGAACAGATGTCTAGAATAAACTTTTGAGCTATAAACCTGCCACAATTTAATATTTTCCTTCATAAGAGTTGCCGTGGTCATGGTGTCTCCTCACAACAATAGAAACCCTAATTAGGACAGGGATCGTGTTTCTTTAAACTGTGAGTCAAAGTAAACCCTTTATTACTTAAGTTGCTTTTACCAGCTAATTCATCACACTGATGAGACAGCTGACTCATACAACCTCCATGAGAGAATTTTTGCAAATAGTTTTGGAATTAATTTCCCTCAAAAACCACACTTTAAAGAATACAGCTAACTTGGAGGAAACTGGACAAACACCCAGACTGCCAGACTGAATGTTCAGTGAATCTTGATATGCAAATGCCTTGCTCACTAGAGTCCTCTTAGGTCCTTCTTTGGTGTAAGTCAAATTTACCTGGCAATCATTTTCATCTGATTTTCATAACAAGGGCTATGCTTATTTTGCATTTATAAGAAAAAAATCTGCCGGGCATTGGTGGCACACGCCTTTAATCCCAGCACTTGGGAGGCAGAGGCAGGCAGATCTCTGTGAGTTCGAAGCCAGCCTGGTCTACAGAGCTCGTTCCAGGACAGCCTCCAAAGCTACACAGAGAAATCCTGCCTTGAAAAACCAAAAAAAGAAAAAAGAAAAAATCTACTAAAAGTAGACACTATCTGTTCCCATTTATAGAAAATGTCATGAATTATGGGCTAGAGATGCATCTTATGGTTAAGAGCACTTGTTGCTCTTGCATGGGACTCTGGTTCAGTTCTCAGCACCCACATATACAATTGAGGTTGACAATGCTCTGGAACTGCCATTCTAGGGGATCTAATGCTCTCTTCTGACTTTCCTGGGCACCAGGTATGCGTGTGGTGCACACACATACATGCAAGAAAAATACTCATATACTTGTTAAAATAAAATTAATGCATCTAAACAATTTTATTAAGAAAGTAAAGTATGTAGAATTAATGTCTGCCTAAGGTCTGTGGAGGGATATGGGTATAAAGGCTTCTGGATATATGGCTTCTTTGGAAGCTGATCAAAATGTCCTAAAATTGTTTGTGGTGATGGTTCCACAATTCTGTGACTAAAGTCATTCAAGTGTACATTTTAAGTTGGCAATTTGTATGAAATGTTATTTGTATCCTTGTAAAACTTTTTGTTTTGTATCAGGTAGTCTAGACTGACCTTGAACTAGATATGTAGCCAAGAATGATATTGGATTTCTGGTCATCCTGCCTCCATCTCCCATGTGCTGGAATTACAGGAATGTACCACCACTCCTGGTTTTATGAAGTGTTGGGGCTTTGTGCATGCTTGTCAAGCAGGGGTCTTATCAACTGAGCACTTTGTTGGGGGTGTGGTGGAATCTGTGCTCACTACAGGCAGAAGCCATACAGGAAGAGGCCACACAGGCAGAGGCCACACAGGCAGAGGCCAGGGGACTGTCATGCCCTATCTTTGGCTGCCTTATTCCTTTGAAACAGAATCTCACACTGAACCTGGAACTTGCTGCTTCAGATAGACTGAGAGCCAGCAAGCCCTAGTAATCCTCCTGCCTCAGCCTCTCACAACCCTGGGGTTAGAGCTGCCTGTGTGACCATGATTTTTCACATGGTTCTGGGATGGGACCCAGATACCTGTGGCTGCTTATGTACTGAACATCCTTACCCCCTGGGCCATCCCCCAGGCCTAACTTTGTCATTTTAATGGGCTGAGTTTGATGATAAATGCTTGTAATCCTAGCACTTGGGAGACTGAGATAGGAAGATCATGAGTTGAGGTCAGCCTGGGCTAAATATAAAAACCCAATGTTAAAATAAAACACTCATGTGATATTGAGTAAGATATGCACATGGCTTCATTATAGTAAGGGAGAAAAAGCCACTTTTTTTTTTTACTATAAACAGAGAAGAGTCTAATCTCTTATCCTATCTACTTTTACTGCATATACAATGTCTATTTTGGTCATTTTCATAGTCTTGTCATAGTGAGCAACTAACTTGTTATAGTTAGTCAGAAACCACAGTAAGGCCTTGACTACCACATATCCTTGTTTTCAATCAACAATAAACATGACTAATGTCACCATGGCTCATTTCAACCACACGTGGACTCAGGAAGTTTGGGACATGCTGGGACCTGGCAAGCTGATGAGCTGGAGGGACAGTGCTTGGCTAAACTTGGGTTCCAAGAATGTGGTGTTGGTGGAGGCTGGAAAAATATCTTCCAGACCCTGGAGTGGAAAGCTACTGAGGACGTAACTGAGGGAAAAGGGAGTTTTAGATACCAACTGGGAATTTGTGAGAACAGATTTTAAACCAAGGCTTCCCTAAGTAACTTCCAGCCCAGGATTCTTCTGCCTCACTCCTCTGGTACATGATTTTGCTTTTATGTTCCAAACAAGCTCTCACATAGCCCAGGCTGGCCTCAAACTCATGCATCCTGACTTCCCGCTATCTGTCGCTTCCTCTAAGGGTTAGAATTACAGGTATCTGCTTCTATTCCCAAACTGTGGCATGCTGGGATGGGGTGAGGGGACAGACGACAGCACCTTGTGCCTACACAAGGTCTTCAAAGGCAACTGCAGAGCAGAGGGCAGCGGAGATGGGCCTGGAAGAGAGCCCTGTAGGAAGTCCCCACTGGAGGCAAGTGTGGCCAAGAGCAGAAGAGCCGGAGACAATTTCCCCCTGGTACTTGGTAACAATCACAAAACTTGACCAAATAAGCCAAGAAAGGTAGCTTAATCATTTCTGCTTTACCTCTGAAACTCACAAGTGACTTGCATAACCATACTGGCAAGGAAGCCTGGAAAATGTAGTCTTCAAATCTTCAGCCTCTTCAACACAGAAGGGTGCTCTAGACAGAGGTGGGAATGAATGCTAAGTGTCAGTCATTCCCAGTATAAGCAATGGCTAATAACTGTCTTTCTCTGGGTTCAGGGGTAACCTTGATTTGGTTCTTTTCAGTTATATCGGAAATCAACTGTAAGACTCAGGGTCCTTCTCTTCCCCACTATAACAATAGGAGTATACACACACACACACCATTTCTTTCCCAAGGGCTAGTAAACAGGATGTATCAAGGAGAGATCCTCCATAAGGAATGGTGAGGACTCAGATACGGCATCTTCTGTCTGTGAGCTCCCTGCAGGCTTGCCAGGAGGCCACCAGCACAGCCATTTAGCACAAGCAAGAGTTACAGCTTCCTTAAGTACACTGAGTTCCAGCGCTATCCACTTGTCCATATATCTGCATTATCTCCTCTCCTCTATTAACCCTCAGACTGTAGAGTGTTTTCTAGACTTGATAATGAGCTTTGCTGATGTTTTCATCAGCTTTGTGGGTACTCTCCAGTCCACGAAGGACCTAGAATAATGGTCTCCTAACCCTCACTCATCCTGGTTTCCCTCTGTCTCTTCTTAGCATCCACATGTGTGCCTGTCCAACCCTCACTTCTGCTTCCCACACTTTGCTGAGCAGCACGCATGCAGCCATTGTTTGTACTGGAAATAGATGACACTCAGCACATGTCCCCACCTCCTTATAGGGTGTTTACTCAGTACCTCCTTAATCCTTACGACCATTCCACAGAATGGTCCTGTGCTTCTCATTTACAGACAAGGGTAGAGGTGCAGAAGGGTCACACCACTAGAATCCGTTAACCCGGGATCTGAGCTCAGTTTTGCTTGGTTCTAGGTCCCAGGTCCTTCCCACATCTTCGTGTTACTAGCCCACAGAGTAGAACCCTTCAGTCATATACCCATAACAACTGTGAGCTCACCAAAGAGTCTCCATTTCAGATCCTGATCTCAGAACTAAAATCTCCTGGGACTGTAGGGCCTTAGTTCTTCTGCTAATGTCTGGGACAGTCTTTTTTTTTTTTTAATAAACTATGGCTTCATGTAGAAAAATGCTAACAAATTTCCGGCAAATGCAAAATTGTGTAGGTCGTGGGAGAGAACAGTTATTTTTGGCAGGAGTGGTCTAAGTCTGGCAGTAAACTTCTGAAAACATAATAATAAAAGTGCTTTTTAACATCCTGTTTTTTTACTCTTTTGTTGATTTTTGAGCATTTCTTCCCAAGCAAGGAGTTATGCAACAAAAATTGAAAATTGCCAAAGTTTATTGTTAGTTTTAATTGATTCCTTTCCCATGTTTCTCTGCACCTTTTGTGCTCGAAGGTTTAAATTCAGGAATATAAATGGTTACAAAGCACTCCGAGAGTGGCAAAGTGACCCACCCTGAACAGTTCATGGAGGGCCACCAAGCTTCACAGTCAGTGGCAAGCTTGGCTCATGAGCTGAGTGACTGCTGGGTGTTTGTTCTTCTGAGACAAAAAGGTTTCAGGTCATCCTGTGTTTCTGAGCACCTTCAAACGCCCTGTGCCGATTTCCTAGTAAGGCTAATCTGGAGTAAGTGTTTGGGTGTGGAGCCTGAACATAGACAATTTCATCCAGCTCCTGGCTCTGTGTAGTCTTGGACCCGTCGTTCGCCCTCTCTGGCTCCTCATCTTCTTTCCTGGGAAGTGAGAATGACAAGGCATGGGCTTCCTAGGCTGGCTGAGGGAGTAAATCAGTCCACAGTCGAGCTTCTCTGGGGAGCCCTGGTATACAGTAAATGAAGTCCTAAAGGTGATCTTAGTCCTTTGCTCATTTTTCTGTGCTCCTAAAAAATGAACCTTAATATTAATAAAATATTTTATTATTAATTAATTATTATTAATTCTTAAAATCTCATGTGTGTGGGGTCTTTTGCCTATAGGTATGTCTGTGCACTTCCCCAGGTGCCTGGTGTCTGAGGAGGCTAGAAGAGGATCTCAGTTTCCCTGGAACTGAAGCCACAGAAAGTTGTAAACCTCCCTGTGAGTGCTGAGTCTAACCCTGACCCTCTAGAGAAGTGCTCTTAATGGTTGAGCTATTTCTCCAGATATTGCCTCAACTTCCTGAATGCTGGGACTACAGGAATGAGACGTCATATCTGGCTCTCAAACATTGCTTTTATTATGATACTGATTTTGTCTTCTGGTATAGTTGAGATGGTTATACAAATGTACCTCGGCATTTTTCTGAAATCTAGACTGGTATATGGACTCAGAAGGTAACAGCAATTCCTCCCCCCAAATTTTTCCTTACAAACTATGTTAACTATCATTTTAGTTAGCCTCCTTCCTTTGCTGCTTCATGTCAAAGATTGAAGCTCAGAGGCAGAGGTAACCTCCCCTCACCCCCAACATGGTTTTTCTGTGTAGTCCTGGCTGTCCTGGAACTTGCTTTGTAAACCAGTCTGGTCTTGAACTCTTAGACATATGACTACCTCTGCTTCCCAAGTGCTGGATTTAAAGGCATGAGCCCCCACTGCCTAACTGACAGAGAAGACATCTATACTGGGTTAGACTTTAGGCAAGCCTGTGTGAGGTTATTATCTAGATTGGATTGAGAAGGGAGTCACCTTGGATGTGGATAACACCATTCCATGGGCTGGAGTCCTGACTGCAAACATTCATCTCTCTCTGCCTCTGACTGTAGGTACAACGTAAACAACTGTTTTAAAGTTCCGAAGTCATGACCTCCACCCCCATCTTACCACATCCCGCCCCTCCACGATGACTATACCCCGAAACCATGAGCCAAAGCAAAAACAAACCTTTTCTTAAACTGCTTTTATCATATATATTTCATGATAACAATAGAACAAGTCACTGATAAGGTAGTTCTGCCATTAATTCTTTGTAAAACATAAAAGAGATGGCTTCTCTAACTTTAGTTCTCAGTACTGAAATAGAAGGTTTTGATCCACAACCTCGAGGTTTGGGGTTTCACAAGTCTGACAAAAATGACTGCACTAAAAAGATAGCATTTGATAGTTGCCAATAAAGCATTTCTGTTGGCAGTTGTCCTGGTTAGTTTTCACTGTCTACTTGATGCGACCTGAGAAGAGGGAACCTGGATCACAGAATTGCCTCAATCAGTTCGTTCTGTGGCCATGTCTGTGAGAGACTGTCTTGATTAATGACTGATGTGAGAGGAACTTCCCACTGTGGGCGGCACCATCCTCAGGCAGATTGGCCTCGGCTTCATGAGAAAGTTAAGTGAGTGAGTCAGTGAGAGAGTCAGTTAGTGATAATCCTCTATGGTCCCTGTCTCTAGGTTCCCTGCCTTGAATTCCCTCAACACCAGATTATGACCTGGAAATAAAAGCAAAATAACCCAGTCCTCCAGGCTGCTTTGGGTCAGATGTTTTACCATACATAGCAAGAGGAAAGCAACTAAGACAATATTAAATCCAGTCAAGTAGAATAATGTGAGAGGCAGAGATAGCAAACTCTTTTCTAATGGGTGGTATACAGAGCCTTTGTCCAAACCCAAGGCCTTCTGGGAAGCAGCACGGCTGGTATTCATCACAGCCCGGAAGGAAACACCCCTCAACAACTGTGCTGTGTATAAGAATGCTGCAGAAGCAAAGTGAGCATGGAGAGTCCTTGGCCTGTGCTTAGGAGTATTTACTTGGCATCCCAAGTCTATGGACAAATCCTGGCTATTTGGGTGAGCTTGAGCAATCTAATGTACTTCTTTTTTAACTTCAGTTTCTCCTTGCATTGTAGTCATAATTAAAGAAATTTAAGTACATCAAGTACCCAAGACAGTTCTTGACAAGCTCTTAATTAGCATTAATTGCTGCCATGTCAACATCCTCTGTTGGGAAGAGGGTGGGTCCAGGATCAGGTGATAGGTTACCACAAGGAGTCTTACCTGGCTGGACAAACCGGCTTCGTGCAATTATAGGATCCTTGGAGAGCAAATTAAGCAGCCAGAATGTGGGATAGTCTAGGTGGTATACTAACACCTTAGAAAAGTTCTTGGGCAATTGAGTTACTCTAAGCAGAGTCCCAGCCAGTTGGGGACTGCTGGAAGACAACTAGGAAGGCAGGTCTCTGGCTAAAAGCAAAACAGGGCAACTTTACCCCAGCAAAGGGGCAAGGCTTCAGTCCTCGGGAGACAAACTGAGACAGGAGATGATCTAATGACCTAGGTCCCGGCATGGTAGAAGGTCGGCTGAAAGGAAGGGAAGACTGTAACAAGGGAGATCTGCCAGGCGCTCAAAGCCCTGAGCTAACTACAAGCTTGGTGAGGCTGAGCTCCTTGCTAGAGCAGCTGTGGCCATCAGTGACTCAGTTTGAGTTGTCCCCCTGCCAAATAAGCTGGTGTTCTGGGAGACACAAATGGTCAGGGCATGGCAATCTGCAGCAGACAGGAACTCGGAAAACATTTCTCAGCAGTAACAATGGCCTGGATGTGGAAGAAAAAGACTTTTTTTATCTGCCTAGGATGTACGTATTGTCTGTTTTTAGAAAAGAGAGCGCCCAGGTTTATACTAGCTGTCTCCTTGGTTTTATAACAATGGCTAAAAACAAAACAAAATGGAAAGGTTGGAGTGTGAGAGTAAACAAAGTTGCTTGGCCTGTAGGTTTTGTGAAATTTACCAAATATGAGAAACTCTGGGCTTTTGTTTTTTGTTGGTATTGCTTTTTTTGTTTGTTTTTAATTTAGAGGCAACTCTGAATAGGAGACTATATTACAAATTGTCTGTATTTCAAATTTCCTGTAATTTTTATTTTTCTATTTATTTGTTTTGGAGTCATGAACTATGAAGAAAAAAATAAACAATCTCAGATAAATTGCTTCCCTATTGGCCAACAGTGTTTTATTTACACAGAAGGACTTCCCCATTATCTCCTCTTTTCTGTCTAAATAAAAGGAAAGGTTTTAACTTTGACATAGTCAAATTATATATAACAGAACCGTTATCAAGCTTTAACTATAGTTACAATATTTAGTCCATTAACATTTAGTAAGATTTAAAGAAAGTATTTTATCATCTATCCTATCTGTGTGATTCTGAAGTCTTATATGTAGCTTATCTTTTATCATAACTAAGGAAAACTATAATTATAACTATCTGTCTTCAACTCCATCAAAAACCACAGAAGAATAATATATAAACACTAGAATTGACAGAGATGCCTTGCTACCTGTACAGTCACCTGAAGTTCCTCTGCAACATTGGGGCATCTGTCTTCAGCCCATAGGCCATAGTGTGTCTGGCAGACTTCTCATCAAAGCAGGAAATTTCAAACTGCCCATCTGCATTGGCAGTCTGTCAGTCATTTTTCTGTGCCCTGTAGAATGTCTGGCAGACCCTTCCATGAAGCAGGAACCCTGTAGGACTGTCCAAGTTCAGTAGTCACTTTTCTGTGGGTCCTGCATGTACAGATTATACAGCAATAGTCAAAAAGTTCAGGCAAGAGCAGTTTCTTGCCCAAATGGCTAGTCTTGCCATGTTGAAAGCAAACTCCATAAGTAGTTTCTTTGATGTCCATCTTCCTCTCAGATGTAATTGGTGTGCCAGGAGTAGTAATGTCTCACTATCATGAAAAACCCTAAACCATTTAAATGCCATATGAAAGGTTTGAAGAATATCTATCTATCTCAAATACATCTCTGTATATCTAGAAAACCTAATCTAACTGTAAGTTTTAACTATTATAGGTAACTATCTATAATCTGTATTTAATTATACATTTCATTTTTAAATGAGTTATACAAGCACAATACCTAACAAGAGAAGAAATATATATATGTATATATATATATATATATATATATCACAAAATCGATCTTAAATTTGTATCAATAAATGAAAATCCATACCAATACAAGTATTCATTTCTATACTATAACCTCCCTCTTACCTTTAAAAAGAGATTGATTGTGATCATTAACCATTTATAACCAACCTCATTTAAATGAAAACAAAAATTTATAAACAATATTTGGGAATTTGGATGTTGTTCATTCCAAGCTACTTCCTGATAGTTGGGGGCTCTGTCCACACCATGGGGATCATGACAAAACACAGAAACCTAGCTAAGTTCTTGTTTTTTGTAGTCTTCAAGGCTGCATCATCTCAGCTATTTTAGATGTTGGATGACCTGGGCCATTGCTTCAGGGGGTCTTGCTTCATCAAACCATAAAAGTCTGGAAGGAATCCACAGCTTTTCATTTTCTACGGAAACACAAGGAAAAACTCTTTTCCCAAGTAACCTATATTTAAATTTACAAGTCCAAGCATTTTTAGAATATATAAGTTGGATTAATTCAGCAGCATTGATAATCAAGTGTATTTTAGCAGTTGTTGTTCCTTCCTTAGCAATTGAACAACTGAACAACAATACAATAGCATACAGTATCCAGACTCTCTGTGTATTTTCCGTCTTAACGTGGCTTTTTTATTACTCTATATCTTTTAATTTTATTTTTTACTTTTTTGAGACAGGGTTTCTCTGTGTACTTTGGCTGCCCTTGAACTCCCTCTGTACATAAGGATGGCCTTGAAGTCATAGAGATCTGCTTGCCTGTGCCTCCTGAGTGCTGGGATTAAAGGTGTGCACCACCACAGCCCAGCTTCTCTATTTCTTTTACCACTATCCTGTTTCTTTTTCTCTCCCAAGCCTACATATATTTTTAAACATACTGTAAACCTTTTAGAGGTTTTACTTCATCTGAATCTGACTTCACTGCAAATCTTTGTTTTTCTGGTCACATGCCTTTTATCAGCTAAACAATATTGCTAAAATTAAAGTGGCGACTGTTTCAGCCACTGGCTTTCCAACATGGCAGGCATAAGTTTACCGCACAAGTCTTTGCTTGTCTCTAGTGAACAGATCCCACTCGAGAAAACACTGCCACCAAGAAGCTATGCTTGTTTCTGTTCTCGTTTCTAAAAATCCCTTTTAAGCTTTTGTCATTCTACATGGAAATTTATGCAACCAACGTTGGGCGCTGTATATAATGAGATTCTTCCTGCCGGCCTGGTCCCAGAGCCACATCAGTCTCAAATGATTACATAGCTCCACGCAACACCAGACTAATTAACTGATATGGTGCACCTTCTACACTCTGGCCAGAGCCTCAGACAAGAGTTTCAATCAAGATTAGAATTTAGTCAAGAACTTCAATCAAGCATCTCCTGCCAGACAGAGACTGGGTACAAATGTTGTAACTAGTCCACTTGACTTTCACTACACCAACATTTTCTTCCTACAGGATCCCATGAGGTTATCGTAGTCCCATTTCAGCAGGAAGTAATTCTGAGAATACTATGCCCCCTTTCCATATTATAGGATAGTTTACACCTGTTAGAGTTAGCTTTCAATTGTTTAGGGTTGGGATTGGAAGGAGGTGTTCAGACTTGGGCATCTCTTTTAGATAAATTTAGGGATTAGATGGGATAGATATGCTTAGAATGATATAGGTATTATATCTTATGGTAACTTATAATTGGTTTTTTTTACAATTTGTCATACTATGTAAAGTCTTCTTTCTATGCATAAATATCATTACAGCTTCTATGTATATATGCTTTATGTATGTTTGAGACATTTTGTATATTGACACAATTTAGTTTCAAGACTAAATCTTTTCTTTAGACTAAAAGGGGAACTGTAGGGATATTAGATACCTGTGCCACTGACTACTTTGGGCATGTCTACAGGTGCATACCAACGTTGTGTCTCGGAAGCCGCTGAGATCAACCTGGGTTGCCAGTTTCTCTTGTTAGTACCTTCCACAATAAATAGTCATCATTATCCTTCATAAAGTGTATGATTTATATTACAGTGACAGACATATACCTGTGTATTTTTGACCTTATGAGCTTTTGATTTATGTTGTCTATGAGTCAAATGTCTGTTCAAGTCACCTGACTTAAAATATGTGCCTTGAGAATTCAGCTACAACTCAACTTTGAAATGAGTTTTCTAAGTGAATGAGTATGAGGACATGACCACTTCAAGGTGTAGACAAGGAGATAGGTTTTATTGTAGATGTGAGGGAGAGAACAGCCAGAGGCATCTGCTGAAGATCAAGAGAGTGTGTAGCTGAAATGCAGGCTGATGTAGGGATGAGAATCTAGGAGAAGGACATGCCTGGGCTAGAGAGGTTTAGGGCAGGGCAGGGTGAGGAGTGCTGGCAGGACCTACAAGGACAATGGACAATGTGAGCCTTGTCCCAGATTTCTTTGGGACCTCACACTAGAAGGAGCAGTTCCGTTGATCTTCTTCTAACTCAATGATTAACAGCAGCAATTACTTATCTTTTTTTTTTTCTAATAAGAAATGCTTCATCCAGGACTATATAGTGAGACCCTGTCTCAACAATCAAAGAAAAAGAAGTGCTTCAAAACACTTTCTGGCTTGGAAAAGGGGAGATGCTGCTGGCTTACTACTTTGTGGAGTAAAATTCTTTAGGTGCAGAAGACAGATTCGCTTCTGTGAAGTATTCATGGCCATTGTTTAAAGACTTCAAAATAATATATTGTACTTCTGACAACACAACTATACCTGCAATATCTTTCAACTTCCTCCTGCACAAGTTTTTGTCTTAGATGCAAGATCTGAGAAGATGGTTTGGGGACAAGGGAGCTGAGATTACTACTCTGTTAAGGATTTATCAAAGAGTGTTTCAAAACCTTTGTACTGTTATAGTTGGAGAAGTAACAGTATTGTAAGCCTGTATAAAAAGTGTTTTTAACAAGTAGTACACAAATTTAATATCATTACTATTAAGAGAACACATAGTGTTTGTTCTCAATGCTTATTTTGGCTTCAAGTTGCCTTTCTATCTTCATAATCTTTATTAGGTTTAACTGGCCCAAAACCAGCTAGAATAGACTCTATGATGGCTCTAAATTATTGTTTTATATTCGTTGAACCAGAATCTTTCATCTAGGTCTATTCTACTGGCTGCCTAAAGCCTTATTAAACATCTTGGCATCAGTATTTTTGTTGTCCCACCTTCAGAAATTATCATTGAAAACAGATTCCAGTTGGGTTCAGTTAGAATTCATGTTAGCTAGGAAATAAACATTGGTAGGTCTATTATTTGGTATTAAGTTCTACTTGTAGGTGATTTTTAAAAATGAAAATGAAATGCTTTCAAATTGTTTTTGTTGCTGTCTTTGATTATTTTGTTTTGTTTCTTGTAGTGCCAGAGACAGAACCCAAGGGCTTGCCAATGCTAGGCAAATCTTCAGTCCTTGGGTTTTTGAGAGTTTCCCTGCGCAGTTTAAACTGGTCTTGAATTTGCTATGCAGTACAGGCTGTCCTTGAATTTTTCCATCCTCTTACTTCTGTCCTGAGCAGCCAGTTATATACATACATACATACATACATACATACATACATACATACATACAAACATACATACATATCTGTATCTGGAATATATATATGTATATATTTAAATATTGGAGTGTAAATAGTTGTACACCCCTATAATCCCAACACTTGAGAGATTGGGTGGAGACAGCCTCCGCTGCAATGCAAGTTCAGGGCCAGTCTGGGGTGGATGAGAAGGACCATCTCACAAAATCAAATAGTAGAAACATTCAGCTGGGTGTGGTGGCACACGCCTTTAATCCTAGCTCTTAGGAGGTGGACAGATCTCTGTTGGAGAAAACAAACAAGCAAACAAAACAAACAAAAAATATTCATCACTTTCTGCTCCTGGAATGTGAATAAGATTGACCAGTTGCCTCCTGCTGCCCTGCCATCTTGTCAGGATGGACTGGACTTCCTGGAACTTTAAGC